ATGTTTTGCAGGAACCTGGAGTACGTAGGATTTGAAGTTCGTTGACCTATTAGACTCCAGACGCTGCAAATGTAAAGAGATCGGATCCTCAATGCGGCATCGACTTCGTTCTTTCACGAAGCGCGGGACGTCTTCTCCCGACGTACTTTTGTCCAAACGGGAGATGTAGAGTTGTGTGGTTGGCTCCACAGCACGCAGAGTTGTACTCGCGTTTATTTTCGCGGTCCCACGCTGGTTACAGACGGGTCGCGACCGACGTCTCTTCTCAACAAGAGTAAACCCGTCCTTATCAATCTTGTCTTGGGTCACCACTGGAACTGATTTTATTTCCACATTCTTCCGCTTTCGACCACAAGAGGGTGCCGGTTTTAAAGATTTTCGGGCAACATCCGCAAACGTCTTCCCTTGTTTTGAGGTTGGCTTCGGCGGAGGAGTACCAATGGGTTCAGTCAAGGGTTGAGGTGATGATGCAATGACGACTGAGGTCGCCCTAGTTTCTCGGTCATCAACCCGCTGACAGACGGTATCGCGTGATGGAGTCGCAATCATCGGTGAAATATGATTACTATTACGGTTACCGCGTGTCGTATTCACATTCTGCGACGGCGGTGAATTTGCAGATGTTGCAATTATGTTGCGCAACATATTGACTTCGTTCCTCAGCTCTGTTGCGGCTCGTTCTGATTCCTCAAATTTGGAACGGATTTCGGTAATATCGGCTCTCAACGTGGTGATGTCTTTCAACAATCTGGTGACGTCTACGTGATCGAACGTCACGGGAGGCAGCTTGTTGAGATCACGCGCGACGAAAGTTGGGATGTCATCAGGGTCGGTCTCATTGAACAGCCTGAAGATGTCTTGCAGGTCTTTCTTACCGCGTCCATCCCTGTGACGTGTTATAAGACGGATTTGGGTCACGGCTGAATCTGCTAACACCTTCTTCGCTTGGATGATCTCGTCCTCGGTGAAGCTTGTCATCAGTATCTGCTCCAGAGACACCTGGTCCATGACGTCCAATTTTTGTTGAACAAAGGCCAGCAACTCGTGGATTACGACGGTTTCGGAACGTTTAGGTTGACACGTCATTTCGAGTTATTTTTGCGCAGTAGGTATGCTTACGCTACAAAAATACTGTAAGTTCGGCATTAGAGCCGTCACGTCATTATGAAGCGACTGCACTAACCGGTAGTAAAATTGCGACTGCTTAATGCTGCTGTATTTCGTATGGTGAGTGTAGAGAACCGGAGACCCTTTTTACTGGAAAAGCGGCATTCTATCTTAGTCCTCACGGCTGACAACGCATCTGCATTTTAATTCGTAAACGAAGATAGATGTAGATGTCTATGGGCCACAGCAACCACTTACCATCAGGTGGACTGTGTGCTCGTTTGTCACCCTTATACTATAAAAACAATATTCTTCAACGAGCTGGTGGATTGGCGATCACAGTACAGACATTAATAATTGTAGCGCAGTGGCTTAGTCATGAGCTACGCCACTTCCTACAGCGAGAGAAACTTATATCGATCAATAGATTTACTTGCGCTGATGAAGAAGGTGAACAGGAAGAAGTATTCTCGCAGAATTAGGAGAATGCACTGAGTTTGTAACTAGATTTACTTTGACATGTAATTTGCTAAGTAATTTAGTGTTACTTAATGAATTAGTGTTACTTAGTGAGTTACTGCTGGCCGGATGAGGAAGCTCAAGGTCGCTCAGCGGGCTATGGAGAGGGCTATGCTCGGAGTTTCTCTGCGTGATAAACTCAGAAATGAGGATATCCGCAGTAGAACCAGAGTGACCGACATAGCCCAACGGATTAGTAAGCTGAAGTGGCAATGGGCCGGCCATATAGCTCGAAGAACCGACAACCGATGGGGAAAAAAGGTTCTCGAGTGGCAGCCTCGTACCGGCAGGCGAAGTGTTGGGCGTCCCCCCACTAGATGGAGTGACGACCTGGTGAGATGTGCAGGAAGTCGATGGATGCAGGTGGCTCAGGACCGTGCTATGTGGCATTCCTTGGGGGAGGCCTATGTTCAGCAGTGGACTTGTGAAGAGCTGTAATGATGATGATGATAATGAATACTATATTTAAATAGGACATGTTCTGACTTTACAGAATCCGTCACACTATTTGTTGTCAAAAGAGCACACAGTCACCTTGTGGTAAAGGGATACTGTTACCAATAGACACCTACATTTATCCTCAGTTAAAAATCAAATGCAGTCACCCCTGAGGACTAAGATGGAATGCTTCTTCAGCTAAAAGGGTCTCCGGTTGAGTGTAGAGCACTCACTATACGAAACACAGCAGCATAAAGCTGCTATTTAATGCTGGTATACTGTTAGCGCATGGTCCTTCGCGGGGCGAAACGACCCATTCGTGCTACAACCATAATAGCTGCAGCGTGGTTCTACCACATAGATGCTGTGGTAAATGCCAAAAAATTCTTAAAGCTGCCGATAGAACTATTATCACGTTAGAATCAGATGCAAAATACACAAATTGACGACGGGCAGTAGCACCAAAACTTAGACATAGGTAAAACAACGAAATTCCTTGCGTTAAGTCAGTTCATATAACTCAGGCGCAGTTTACTGCACCGGCTCGTTGCGTTAACTAAATATTGTAGTGTTAAAAAATAGGAACCGGAGACCCCTTTTTCCTGGAAACGAGGCATTTACATTTTGAATCTTAATCGAAGATTGAACGTGGTAGAGCCATGCTGCAGCTATATTAATAGTATAGTTGTAGCACGAATGGGTCGGCTCGACCGGGGAAGGACCAAGCTCTCACAGAATACCAGCGTAAAATAGCAGCTTAACACTGCTGTGTTTCGTATGGTGAGTGTAGAGAACCGGAGACCTTTTTTACTGGAAAAGAAGCATTATATCTTAGTCCTCACGGCTGACAACGCATCTGCATTTTAATTCACAAACGAAAATAGATGTAGATGTCTATGGGCCACAGCAACCACTTACAACCAGGTGGACTGTGTGCTCGTTTGTCACCCTTATTCTGTAAAAAAAAATCGAAGATAGATGTAGATGTCTATGAGCCATAGCATCGTCTTACCGTCAGGTGCACTGTGTGCTCGTTTTCCAACCTTTTTCAATAAAAAACACAAGTGTTTCATGACACTCCTCTGCATTCTGCGGGCAAGTCAAAACTTGCGCCAACACATTTGAAGAAGCGAGTTAACGCATCCGGCGCAATGAATTGTGTTCGCACAATTGCGCGGCGCTACGCAGTGCTATCTGTACACATGTCTACTAAAGCTGCAAAACGTCTGATTCTGCGATCAACAACCCACATGCCAAGAGTTGCAATTAAGTCAAATCCTCTTCATAACTGTCCTTGTGTGTGATATATATGTGCTTTTTTATTTAACTTTTATTCAATATTGATTACAAGTATTCTTATTGAAATTCATGTTTTTACGTTACCATTGGTTCAGAAAAAACCTCTGGGAAGAACCAATTTTTTTAAACATATTTTACAATATAAATGGTTACAAACTATTAACAAAATTTATTTTAGAAACAGCTTGGAAGCGACCACCTCATTCCCAGGGGTTATTATCAACCATGTATTCATTTATATTATAATAACCCTTTTTATACAGTTTTTGTTTAATTAAATATTTAAACTTGGTAACAGAGAGACCTTGTATATTTTCTGCTGATGAAGAAGAAGTAGTAACATGAGTAACAACACGAGTAACATTGGATACGGGAAGCATTAGCAAGCTTAGTATTGGATTGTTGAAGTAATCAATAATAATACATTTTTATTCCAGAATTCATTCCATATGTGTTAGTAATCAAATATCAAATATTAAAAAACTACGGTTAGTAATGATTTATCACTGGCAGAACTGTCTTCATCCAGTGTTTTACATAGATACTGTCTAAGTAATTTACAACAGTTTCCAGGATACTATTAGCGCTACTACGTATTCGCGTCATCAAGGATGCTATCCGCTTACGTATAATCGCGTGAAATCTATCCGTGCGTGCTTCTGAGAACACCACCGATCCGCTACAAAAGCAAGCAGCTCCAACAGTGCCCTGAAACTGTTTTTTTACTGTACTCTAAGAGCGCTGTATGCCTTCTGCGTGTAGTTGACCCAAAGTGCACAGGCAAGTGATTGTAAAGTGTAAAAATTAAACTTTAAATAAAAATAAAAGTAAAAATTAAACTATATAAAAATACAATTCAAAATTTAACTTTAAATAAATATAAAAGTAAAAATTAAACTTTAAATGAAAATAAAAGATGACTTCAAAGAAATAAAGATAATGAAATAATTTTCAGATAGCAGCTTCGGAAGTTGATGGTAATATAAACTCGTAGTGTATAGAAGAATTAATGCTTTATTATTAGTTGAATTCAGAAGCTACCATGCAAAAATTATTTATTTCTTTTACTTCTTTGGAGTAGGCTTTTAATTTCTACTATAATTTTTATTCTACGATCCTTTTAAGTATTATATATTAAGGAGTAAGTATCACAGGCGCAAGGTAACAGCTAGAATATCTAAATAATATTCAAATTAAAAATGTCATCCCCAGTTTTCCCACATTTAAGACCACCCAAGCTTGGAGCTTTTCTTCAAAATTTATATGAGACCATCCCTATATATTTAAAAAGGAATAATTTAAATCAGTTTACAATGGGCGAGCGATTTCGCGTAATATAATCGTATATACAAAAAAAGAACATTAACGACAGCATACTGTTTATTTATTGAAAACTTTATTGTACTAATCATAAAGGTTACAAAGGGTGGACTGAATGCCAGTTAGCATCATCTGCCATCCAACCCATGACTCGTATCATTTTTTATTAAAGTTTTTGTTTATTTTTATAGTATTTTAATAAAGATGACTTAAAATTAAAAAAATACAAGAACATAGGACAACTCCATTCTTTCTTTTTTGGCTAAAAAAAATTACGAAAATTATAGCAAAACGTTTATTGCAATATTTAAACAAGATTAAACTACTTTAAAGATAGCTTTAGAGATGGCACCGGCCTTGAGATCTTTCAGCGCCTCCTGGTACTGTGACAGCTTGAAGGTTTTCACGCCGAGCTTCTCGTAGTCAAGATATCTGCAACATAAAATAGCAATTTCAATCTCAAAGACATTTTGATATTATGTCAAAGATTGTTTTTTCTTATGAGTGTGTTTGTCAATGTTTTGTGTTAATGTATGTCTATTTCTTCGGCACGCTCTGTAGCCTAAACGGCTTAATGGATTCACATGGAGTGCTGTTAGATTATTCTTAGTAGTAGGGGTGACATAAGATATAAAAAAATTCTTTTTTCAGTAAATCTTTTTAAGCAGTCTGGTTTTATTTTTTTGGTTACCGTTTTGATTACCGCTTGTAAATTATAAAACTGAAGAGACAAACGAACTTAAACTCCACATCAGTGCATGCGTTAGTGCAACCTATGCACACGTGCAAATATCTTTAAACAAAGAATGCTACTGTTACTCTGTCACCTCTGAGGACTTAGAAGGAACGCCTTACAGCCTGCAATTATTTTTTTTAAATTTAAAAACTTTATTGTTCTAACCAATAAAAAGGTTACAAAGGGCTGACTTAATGCCAGTTTACATTCTCTGCCAGTCAACCCATGGCGTGCTGAGAAATTAGTGGCAGGTGACTTAAGTAACTAAATACAATAAATTTTTATAAATATAATACCTATTAAAATTAGGCTAAAATTATACTAACTGTCTATATTTGTGTTGTGAAAATTATAATATAATTTTTAGTTCTGGGATTATCTTTACTGGTTCACGCAACAGTGTTTAATTGATGCCCTCCACACTGATTTTCGTTCACGGCAGCCAGTCTCAACGAAAACTACCCATCGCAACGCAAGCACATATTATGCACTCTCTATCCTTCACTCTCATAGTTTAACGGGACGGCACACCCACACGACTGAAAAGAGATCAGGCAAAGCCCCGGCTTTACGTCTTTACGTGCCTTGCCTGAGCACTGGTAACACAGTCAAAAGACGCTTGAGGACTAGAATAAGGTCAGTTTGCATTGTACTTGCTAAAAATAATATATGTTAAACTAGTAAACAATAATTTGTTCAGGTGTGTTTCTCGGCCGAATCAACATTCGAGATTCTAGCACCTACATCAGGCGATGCGCAGGAGCAAATTATTACCACCACTGCATTATGGAGAAGGTAAAACATCCTGCTGTCTCTACATAGTACAGGAAACCATGAAACAAGACAAATAAAGGCAAGTTTTACAAACTCGCGTGTTACCGACACTTGACGAATGGTACGAAATATCTAATTTTTCCCCCCTCCTGTCATCTCTTCCTGTCGCTTTATGATCTGTCAATTAAGTTCCGGTATGTTTAATTATTTATATTTTAGATTATAATATTATTTACAGTGCACTCTACTCAGTAATAAACTTTTCATTTCTTTTTATTTCCTTTTTAATGATGTTTGGACGAAATTGCTGTATAGCAGTAAGACCGCATTTTGTTTCTCTCTCTCTCTCTCTCTCTCTCTCTCTTTCTCTCTCTCTCTATTTCTTTAGTGTACTATATAAGGTATGATGATGGTAATAAATTCATGTGTATGCATAATACAGCAGCGTGTCATAAAGCCAAAACCGTTACCAAGTTCCTGGTAGACCACAACGTTTCAGTTTTACCTTGACCTGGAAATTTTCCTGGAACCCCATATAAAATTTATGGAAGATTATCAAGATCAAAATAGTCAATAGATGATAACCACCAAGCTCAGGCTGATTGAAAAGCTGATTAAAAAGCATACCGAGGCGCATACAAGTACTAATTATAAAAAGAAATTGTCACTAAATTGATCAGTTGATCAGTACAAAGTAACATTTCCCATCGTAAGTTAAATACCTATATATTTATTTAACTCTATAATTTATGGTTTGTTTTTTTTTTTCTTCTTTTTATTCTTATTTTGCACGGTAAGTAACTATTTTATATAATTATTATCATTTAAAAAAACTGTGTTTTTCTAATTATTTTAGGACCAATACTACAACAGCAACTGTTTAGTGATTATCCCTAATAATTTAGCAACTCACTGTATAAAAATTAAAAAAAAACATCATTACCTGCTGCCCATCGCTTTAAGCCAGCCAATGGCTTTCGGGAAACTGAAGGGGTTGATCTTTACGCCGATTATCGTCAATTCCTTGTCGTAAATTTGGAAGGGGTTCACTCTGTTAAAAATAAAGAAAATATTAAAAACTTTTAGGAAAATTTACTTCGCAAATATCCGCGTTATAAAATAAAATGATGTGTCTTACCTAGTATGAAGAGCACCACCCGCCCTCCCTCAATTGCGTGCACTATCCCCGTCACCACTAATCCCAGCACCGCTACTCCCAACACCACTACACTAGGCAAGACACACCACTGATGATAATACGACACGTGTTTCGCCTCTACACGAGGCATCCTCAGGTGACATAGACTCTATGGTGGCTAACCGCTAAGTGAAAGTGTTGTAACAAAACACAAAACTGACCTTTATCTGGGCTCAGCGCTAAATAAAAAAAATTGAGGAAAGTTATATGCCAATCAAATACGCTATACCCTAATGGAGCTCCTTTGCATTCAGTATAAAGATACTGTCCGCAACCGCAGTTTTTTTATTCAACTCTTACCAGGAACATACTGAAGCCCATCTCCTTGTTTGTTTCCCTCTGTCGCCTCTTACGACACCCATGGGAAGAATATTTGTGAATATTCTTGTACTACCACTATACATACAGTCATAAAAATAATTTAACCCAATACAAATGCACATAAATATGTTTATCATCTTCTACTACAACTCACATGGATAGCAGTACAAACAGGCATATGTGTCGCGGTAAGTTAGCGTATGTTGTTAATTTCACAGTACGCGCAAAACTCGGCTTCGAAACCGGTCGGCAACGATGAAATTGTTAATTGCAATTTTAAGTGCTGATACACACGTACTCGGCAGTGAAGGAAAGCATCGTGAGGGAACCTGCATGTGTAAGAAATAAAAAAAATTAAGGCTACACTTGACTGGACTGGGCTAGACCTGCATGTCTTACTTCTTCACTTCGCTTAGCAATACGAAGCTGCTACGCTCTAAACCTTCTTCCCCGTCATTTATCGATTTTTTCTGCCATATGACCAGCCCTTTACAACTTACTGATCCGTCGTCTACGAGTGTTACTCTGGTTCTACTGCGAATACCAACGTTACGGATCATACGCTTGTATCACTGTTATGTTACTGTAATTGTAATTGACACCTTTAAAAGTTTTCAGTAGTCGTTGCTTTAATTAAAATCGCCTTCTACAACATCATCATCCTCACTAACAGGTTTCTTTATCGGCTCATAAAAGTCAACTGCAGAGGATGAGCCTCTCCCGTGGTATAACGTGGTAGATTGACGATCGCAGTAGAATAGAATATAATAGAATGGTTTAAATATCAATACAGATTATTACATAATACTTATAGAAAATATTTTTTTATGTACTACTGGTTCGAGAAATACCTCTGTCCTGGGAAGAACCAGCAAGAAACCCAGCGGGACTTTTTTTTTCAAACATATTTCACTTTTCATCAATTTTGTACAATTTTTAACTGATTTTTAAAAGAACCCAACATGGTGGCGATCACCTCATTCTCAGGGGATTTTATATTCATGTATTCCTTAATATTATAATAACCTTTTTTGTACAATTTTTATATTTTATAAAACTTTTAAACTTGTTTATTGACAAACTTTGGATATTTTCTGAAATTTTGTTGTAAAATCATATACATTGCCTCATTAATGAATTCTGTGGTGTCTAGTAACTGGCATTACAAGCTTGTGTTTAAGGTATGAACAAATGTTACGTTTCACGTGGTAGAGCCATGCTGCAGCCATATTAGTAGTATAGTTGTAGCACGAGTGGGTCAGCTTGACTGGGGAAGGACTACGTTCTCACAGAATACCAGCGTAAAATAGCAGCTAACACTGCTGTGTTTCGCATGGTGAGTGAAGAGAACTAGGGATCCCTTTTAGTGGAAAAGGGGCATTTCATCACGGATGATAACGCAATTTTTTGAGGATAGACGGTAAGTGGTTGCTGTGACCCATAGACATCTACATCACGTGGACTGTGTGCTCGTTTGTCACCCTATCCTATAAAAAAATATTACGTTTTCATAAATATATTGCGATGCCAAAGTTATTATGTTTATTTAATATTATTTTTTTCTGAGGGACTCTTTACAATTTAAGATATAAATCGCCCGTACAGTTCTCTTTAGCGAAACAAATGTGGCTTCAATGACAGCCGTTTCGCACCTGTCATGCTGCTGCTTATCGCATGATCTGAGTATCTCACCTCTTACGAGATGGATATACCGGAAGCCATTAATGAGATTTTTCCGCATTTCCCACAGTCGTTTCTTACGAGAACCACAGGAATATATCATTATCATCATCATCATTACAGCCCTTCACAAGTCTACTGTTGAAAATAGGCCTCCCCCAAGGAAATTACAAAGCACGGTCGCTCAGCGAGCTACGGAGAGGGCTATGCTCTGCGTGATAAACTTAGAAATGAGGATAACAGCAGTAGAACGAGAGTAACCGACATAGCCCAACGGATTAGTAAGCTGAAATGGCAATGGGCCGGCCATATAGCTCGAAGAACCGACAACCGATTGGGAAAAAAGTTTCTCGAGTGGCAGCCTCGTACTGGTAGGCAAAGTGTAGGGCGACAGGAATATATAAAAAAAACATAATTATTTCATAATGACATCCAGACGAAATTTCGGTCACGGCGGCCAGTCTCAAATAGAGACTAGGTATCTGCGGGCGTTTTTGGCTCGACAGGTGATAAGAATCCTGGAACTCATGACTACTAGACCAACAAGGCAGTCATAGTTAACACATATATAACACATTATACTAACAGATTATATATAGGCTTAAGAAAAGATATAATACTTACGTAGCTTGGTGCGTGGGTGGACAGCATCCGAACAGCACATATTTCCCACCGTGTCTCAAATAATTAAAGCTTGTTTCCATCACTTTGCCAACTCCTGGAATTGTAGAAAGAGAAAATAATATAACTTTTTTAAAATGGCTTTACGGCTCTGGGTTCTAGCCCTACTGAGCCTGATGTTACAATGTATATTTATCTTTAAAAAAAATTAAAATAGTATCAGTACTAATAAATGCGTAGCATATATATATATACAAATATCACTAATATTTATCACGTATTTTATATATTGCCTATGTTATAAAAAGTATTGACCGCATCTTCAACGTTATCATTACTGAGAATTTCTTCCCAGTTAGTCGAACCTTTCTAAATTTATTATCATAATCGCCTTTGTTGTAAGAGAATGAGACATGTTTGGAGTATGGGAGGTGCTGAAGTTCGACAAAGTTAACATAAATTGATAAAGCTTTGTGATACTGGTCGTCAGGCACCAAGGGATCTTGTCAATGTGATAAAACGAAGTCAAGTATACGGTTATAAGTGTTATACGCTAGATTAAATTATTGTAGGTTACAATAATTTAAAGTTTCAAAATCAGTCTTAGATGTAGCCATATAAACGTATATTTTCAAGGTTTTGTATGCACCTACTCGCGAAATGGGAATCGACAGTATTTACTGCCGATAAGTTATAGGAATTAGGGCACCCACGACTTTATTTGCCACCAGGGCGGCGCCACTTTGGAATGAGGTGAAATATTTGACAGATTTCAGAGCGCAGGAAGTTAATTTATTATATAAGTGTAGAGATTAATGTTTCTTTCTGGAATATTGGTTATATTTTATACTAATTCGATTAGAAATGGATATACCAAACTACGTAAAAGTAGAAGAATTATAGAATGTTTAAAATGTGTAAAAAAATCAAGAATACTACACTAAGGCTTTGTCCAATCATTGTTTGTATATACAGGGTCATTTTTAATTTACTGAAGACCTTTTGGGAATATATTGGTTACATCATTACAAACAATTTCAGTGAGATCACTCTTCACAGAATATAATACATTTACGAAAAAACTACTTTTAAGGTTTTGTTGTCATGTCTGACTCCTTTTAAGTCTGTATTTTGTAGTACCTAAACAATGTCAGAATAAATCGTCAAAGAAAATGCCTAAATAAGGCATTTTTACACTTGATACAGTATCAAACATTGTGTTGAAATCATTAAACATAATTAAATGAGCAAATGACATTCAAAAAAAAACCACAAAAATTAAAATTTATAATAAGTAATTCTTGCCGCCGGGCCGGTCGACGCCCGCGCTCACCTGATTGCGTTGCCAGTAGGGTTACCAGATGAAAAAATTAAAAGTCCGGAGAAGATGCCTGATTTCCATTTAAAAATCCTGAGATTGTTTTACAGTTTGAGAAGAAAACCTTACTTAAAAAGGTATCTTCACATATTAAGTATGATAAAACTGTTTAAGTACCTACTTGGATAAATAAGTTTTGATTTTAATTGTGGAATTATTACCAAAGGAAAATTATTTTTAGTTTGTTTAACTTTTTATTAAGAGATCTTTTAAAATGTAAGCTGTATTATATTAAAAGTTCTAAAAATCCAGAGATTTCATGAGATTTGCAAAATCCATCCGCAATCCTGAGAAGAGTCTAAAAATCCTGAAATCTCAGGACAAATCCTGAGATATGGTAACCCTAGTTCCGAGAGCCTACTCAACTATTCATCACTGTGCCTATTCCACCAGGGCGCCACTTTAAATGACTTTACATTAACTTTTCATATACTTCTTTATTTTGCATAAAACCATTTGATGAACTATTTGATTCTTTTATTAATTTCTTTAAGAATTAATAGACATTCTTTAATAGACATTTAGGTAGTTTTTTTACGAATACTGTTTGCTAGCAACTCTGCCTGCATCCAAGAGGCAACGCCTCAACGTCGCACATGCGGCGGCCCAAGGCCAAGCCAACGATTTATTATAACGTCGACACAGGTGTCACCGTCATCAAAGGCGCCGCCTGCCCTTTTCGGTTTGCAGGCATCGATTTGGTGATCGATGTTTGCAGCACGTGCAAATTAAATAAGTATTATTAACTATTTTTTTATTTAATGTAAGTTGTATTTAAAAAATGGATGCAGGTTAAAATAATTATAAATGTTACAATAAAATATTTATAATGATTAAATACAAATTAACAGTAATTGAATAAAGATATTAAGGTATAATGGTTCAATAAAAATATTAAAATACAAATTTAAAAATTAGGCTAACCTAGGCCCAGTAACGTTGTATTAATGACGCCTGCCCACACATTGACACTAAACCGGTGTTGAAAGCTATGCGGTCTTGGTTCATGTGGATTTTCATAGCACCACAAGTGTTCATTGTGCGAATTAAATAGTCCTATTCTGCCAAATGTTGCTTCATCAGTCCATAAAATGTTGGCTCGTTCAGCAGCTAGTAACCAGTTACAAAATGTAACTCGCGCTGGTTTGTCAGCATCGCTGAGTTCATGAACACGATGCAAGTGGAAAGGGTACTTCCCTTCATTGTGTATGACACTCCATGCGTAGTACAGTGACACATGGAACTGTCGGGCTGCCTCATAAGTGGTCGCTGCTGGATTTTGTTCAAAAAACTGCAGTATGTCTTCCTGCTCACCTACTGTGCGCCGCGGTGGACGACCACGATCGATTGATACAGGCTGGAATTGCCCGTAATCTCGCAATCGCTGTGTAGTACCTAGCATCTTAGCGTAGCTCGGTGCACGTGAGTTGGGAAATCGCCTTGAATATTCACGGCAGGCTTCACTAACGTTATCATTGCAAATTGCTAAAATTCGCACCATTTCGGTATACTCAATATTTGAGTATCGGTATGCCATTATGTAGGGCGTCCCCCCACTAGATGGAGTGACGACCTGGTAAGATATGCAGGAAGTCGATGGATGCAGGTGGCTCAGGACCGTGCTTTGTGGCATTCTTTGGGGGAGGCCTATGTTCAGCAGTGGACTTGTGAAGGGCTGTAATGATGATGATGATGATGATGATGCCATTGTATTACGCGTAACGTTCGCGATATTAATCTCACAACGGAAGGAGAAAAGTCGCGGGCGCACAAAAGGCGACTGACCGACTGACGACACAGATAATTAGGTCAAGTTCAAATGAGCGAGCGCCGCCTCCTACACCCCTCCACCCCTACCCCGCCACGCGCTTTATTTTGCTATTTAGGACTATTGCCGTTTAGAAGGTCCAATTAAAATATTTTTATTTTTGTATGAAAATAAAAATTGAAGAAATATAATTTCTTTTCTTACAGATGTTGTTGTTATGATGTAAATAATATATTCCCAAAAGGTCTTCAGTAAATTAAAAATTACCCTGTATACATACACTAGAAACAGAAAAACTTCTAATTAATTTGCATCTTTTCAATGATGATAACACTGCGTGACAACATATAAGTAACAAATTAGTTCACCTCAGTCTCAACTAGTGACCTCTGGTGAGCTTAAGATTAATATTCCTTATTAAAGCATACCCAGTTGGATTCCTAGATAATCAGACAGCCCCACCATATATAAAAGAACCATACACACCTGTGCAATCGATTATGACGTCATATAATTGCTTTTCCTTCTCCAATACATCGGGTGTTATAAGCCTGAAGCCGGTATCTGAAAAATTAAGTTACTTGATATATTTTAAGATTAAGATATATAGGAGTCTTTTTGATGGAGAATGAGGGAGGAGGAGGACAAAATACTCGCAAATTGGATGGCAGATATTGAAAGCGCGAAGCTGAAGATACTGGAGCCTAATGAGTAGAGTATCTGACTATTAAGTCTTAAATTCATACATTTGTTTTCCTCTGTCGCCTCTTAGAGCACCCACGGGATGATATGGGGTGGTGGATATTGTTACAACGGCACCACACGGTTAACAGGAATACGCTGCTGTCCAACTCCTGTTTAATTCTCCTCTGACATACACGGGATGATATGGGGTGGTGGATATGAGTGGTCTGACTATTAAATCACAAATCCTGAGTTCGAATCCTAACTTAGCTTCATTATTATCATTATTACTATTCACAAGTCCACTACTTAACATAGGTCAACAAATACAAGGGTCTGATCTAATGTTGTTCGTTCGTGAAACAAGGAATTGTTTCTATTCTTTTACTGAAACGACAAATAAACTAATACTCTTCCCCCACTAATAGTCACCACTCACTCCACTGCGTGACTGCCTGAAAACCTCGGGATTTAAAATATGTAAAAAAATAAGTTTTATTAAACGCGATATAAACCGTAAAATTGGTTTTATTTAACGTGTATAGGTATAGTCTGTTAGCTAAGATAGTGTTGGTACACCCGGAGGTGCACTTATTTTTCTTTTATTTTATTATTTTTTTACTGTGTTCGTTACGAGTAAATAAGTATTTTTCTATTCTAAGAATAAAATAGAAAGCTGTTTTATTCTTATGGTTATTGTAATAAAATAGGAACATAAATAATGAACACAAGTTAGGTAGCAAATCGAATTTAAATGAGAAATATGAGTAGATATATAATCATAAAAGATGTTAAAATAGACATATTTTTCATCACTCTACACGTCGTCGTCATTTCCATCTGTATTTATAATAAGGCATCCAACGTCATCACGTTCTGAATCAATACTAAAATAGTATTTTTGTTATTGGTTCACTCAAAATTCATTTTGAGACACTTCACTGTCCTCCCAAGGATGAAAAAACATTTTCTGTTTACGCAGCAGAGTCAACAAAAACAATCTTTCACTACGACGTTTAATTTTAATGCCAAATTCTCCTGCAGGTGTCGCGGCGACGCATTTCACAGCGACACAAAGGCGACCGTATCTAAGCTAACACAATTAGTATTCGTAGTTTCGTGATTATAAGAAATCTTAAAAAAAAGTAAAATTATTATTGCAGTAACTCACCTAGTTTCTTCACAATTTCCAGCCTAGCTTTGTTCATCTCGGAAACTGTTACGTCTCTATGCCCTTGATGATGCAGTGTTGTAATCCAAAGGTTTCCTGAAAGAAAAAGATGCTCTTAATTTTTCACTTCAACACCTCGTAAAAGTCCACTGCTGCACTTGGGCTTCCCCCATTGTAGAAAAGATATTATGTAACGTAATCGCCACACGAGGCGGATCTGCGAAAGTAGAGCTTCATCATCATCATTACAGCCTTTAATAAGTCCACTGCTGAACATAGGCCTCCCCCAAGGAATGCCACAAAGCACGGTCCTTAGCCCACCTGCATAATTAATAATTCACAAGTAGAGCTTAGAAGTCTTGCATTTTGATGCTGCTTCCCGTTCCCGATCTAGAAGTATATATGAGATATAATTAATAGAATCAGGCGTTACTTTGCGGAAATCCATTATATAAAAGCTTTTAGAAAATTTTACTTCGCAAATATCCGCGTAATAAAATAAAATGATGTGTCTTACCTAGTATGAACCCTCATGACCTTCTTTGAGGGAGGGCGGGAGGTGCTCTTCACTAGGTAAGACACATCATTTTATTTTATTACGCGGATATTTGCGAAGTAAATTTTTCTAAAAGCTTTTATATATGAGATAGTTCTATTCTCCGTCACTTCTAACGCCACCCACAAGTGTTAGATTCGCGTCAGCGGCAGCGTCAGGCACAACACGGTTAGGCGTAAATTGGCATTTAACATTTTATCATCACTTTCATTTTATTCTGTTCTTTATTTTCTTAATTTCTACATAGGCAAAACATGTTTGCGACCCTCGTGAGTTCTTGAATCGTGGCTATTTGACTTTAGCATTATGCTGAGTTGGACGCCTATTTGTCGCATAAATGACCGGAGTTCGGTCTGTAGGACTTTACTTCACACTTCGGTCCCCAGAACAGGATTGTAGTGCCCAAGTGTGTGCGCAAGCACAGGTGCACTCTCTGTTCCCTCGAGTTTCTTAGTTCAATTGGACAGCAATCCGAGACGGCTGGAGAGAGATCAGGCACAGGAACTACGGTTTACCGTGCTTTTGATGGCACGGAGGTGAAACACCGCCAACTTCCTGACTCCGGGATGCTTCTAAGAATTGCTTGACCGAAAAAAAAACCACTGGTTTTTATGTATTTATAACTACCATTATTATCATTTCCATTCACAATTCCACTGCTGAACATAAACTTTCCATTAGAATAGTTAAAAACACCTTCCTAAGGTGTTTTTCACTATTCGACTTCCTGCATGTCTTACTACGCCACCACTCCGTATAGTGACAAGATCGCCTGCACTCCGTTTTTTGTTACTCTGCTGCTACTCTAGAACCTTTATCCTCATTGGTTCGTCGAGAACAAATATTTTATATTTTTTTTTTATTTATACTTACCTATAATGCCAGCACCAACTATGAGAATTTTGCTACCAATTGACAGAGGTGAGGCACGGTCAAAACCATGGGAGACACAAGAATAAGGCTCGCAGAGACCAGCTGGAAGGAAAAAATATTTTTTTACAAAAATCACAAAACATAAATTTAAAATAAAATAGTGTTAATAAAATAATTTAATACAAATACATACTTCTTTTTCCTATCTTTTTTATCTTCTTTTTTTTTCATAAAAATGTTACCTCCATACTAGGATTTTGTTTTGTATCGTGGGGGCAGTTTACATACATAAATTTCACAAGGACAAACATCCAGACCCGGAACAATTATTTATAGGCCATACAAATACTTGTTCCGTGCGGGATTCAAACGCGTGGCTCTTGGTGCTGCAGCTTATTGCAAAGCTACTGCGCCACGGAGTCGTCAATTAATAATACTTAAATTCTCAAACCAGAAAGGTAGACAGAAAGTAAGCATCACGGACCGAAAGCAATTTATTCGCGGTAGTCACGCTGCAGCTATATTATAGACTATGGTCTTACAGAATACCAGTGTATAATAGCAGCTTAATGTTGTTGAGTTTCGTATAGTAAGACAACAGGAGACCTTTTTTACTGCAAACGTGGCGTTCTGTCTTAGTCCTCAGGACTGACAACGCACCTCATTTTGATAGTTAATCGAGGATAGATGTAGACATTTATGTGCCACAGGAGTCACTTATCATCAAATGAACTGTGTGCTCGTTTGTCAACCTATTTCTATAAAAAACATGCAATATGAAGTAAAATTGCACACCTTACCTTGGTTAGGGTACCTTAAGGATCACCAGCTGATTAGTGATCGCCAATACGCTTTTCGTCGGGGTCGATCAGCAAGTGATCTACCTGACTCATAGATGGGCCTTAGCCGTTAGTTTGGACATAGCGAAGGCCTCTGATCGGGTTTGGCACAAAGTGCAGCTTTCAAAGCTTCCTTTGTTATAGGCTTTTCGAGAAATTGTGCAATTGGATCACCAGTTTTCTTGCAAATCGTAGCATCAAAGTCGTAGTAGACGGTGCATGCTCCGATTACAAGCCTATTAACGCTGGGGTTCGTCAAGGCTACGTGCTATCACCAACGCTGTTTCTTCTGCATATCAATGATATGATGTAAACCGGTAAAATTTATTGCTATGCGGACGAAAGCCCTGGTGATGCTTAATACACCGGCGTTGCCAAAATTTCTTTTTTCGTCGACATATCGAATGACATGCAATTTTGTGATCACTCGGAAGAGAAGGCAGAATCAGCCTCTAAAAAGCTTGGTATGCTCATCAGAGCGGGACAGTATTTTATGCCAGCACACCGCCTTCAACTTCGTTCCGACGGTGTGCTGAACGTTGCATGCTGGCACACCAACTGCTTTCAGGGTTCGACCTCACATGGAATACTATTCCCATCTCAGAGCTGACGCTCCACAGTGCCAGCTCCTTCCATTTTATCGCATCCAGTGCAGAGCGGATCGAATCGTCGGTGCCGAGCTCTTTTTGGTCGGCTTAAACCACTGGCACTGCGAAGAGATGTTGCATCTCTTTGCGTATAATATCGCATCTTAGTAGAAGTCTTTGTAGTCGGGGAGTGCTCTGAGAAATTGTTCGCGCTAATTCCAAGCGCCCAATTTCACCATCGCACATCGCGACTAACTCGCAATAGGTGGACTAACTCGCATTTACAGTCGCACGGATGGGCCGGCTCGAGCCGGGGTGGTACCACGACCTCACAGAAAACCAGCGTGAAGTAGCGGTTTACCTCTGCGTTTCGCTTGGTGAGTGCAGGTGGCCGGAGGCCCTTTTTACTGGAAATGAGGCATTCCATCTTAGTCCTCACGGGTGACAACGCATCTACATTTTGATTTGTAATAGAGGATAGATGTAGATGTCTATGGGCCGCAGCAACCACTTACCATTAGGTGGACTGCGTGCTCGTTTGTCACACTTATCCTATAAAAAAAAAATAGGTACCATCCATACCATCTGGATGATTGGCGGTCCACCACTGTGCGATTTAGTAGAAGTTTCCTTCCTCGTACAACTTTTTGTGAAATCGACTACCACCAGCGATTTTTCTGGACCGATACGACATAGGGACCGGTCGATACTTACCATCAGGTGATGCGCATGCTCGTTTGTCCCCTCTTCTATAAAAAATGATCCTGTTTAATATTCCCTATTCAAATAAAATTAACTTTATAATACAGCCTGTTTAGGTGGAAAATATGATACCATGACTTATCAGCTAGAACGCTAATATCATCATTTAAACAAACCCTGTTCTGTAGTTATTTCATCGGGTAAAGCGTATACTTGATCTTGCGGTACCAGCACGTATTGTGCCCAGCCCCCATCACACCAGATGCCGACGGTGCTGTTAATACCAGCTGTCAAACAATACTGGTAGTTGCCGTTTCGACAAAAGTCGCAAAGACTGCAGGCCCTGCCAACAGAAAATAATATTTTAGAATATTTATTTAGCACATAGTCCATCTATACGAATAACGAACCGAGTGTCACACATCTCTCACTTAAGATGCAGCTGCCTTCGGTCTGGGTATTGTATAACTGGTGCAAAAGAAACGATTGTAACGCCATCTGTAGAAAGCAATAAGATTTTGCGACATTTCACTCAGTCACCTCTCCTTCTGGGGTGATGGGTGTTACGCCGCCACTACACGGCATAGCACTCTGTTGGGCATGTGCTCTCCGCCAGGTGAACATTACTTAAAAGATTTAATTTGTGAGCAACCAAATCGATACCCCAGCATGGGTTATTTTTTTATAGAACAAAGGTGAAAACGAACACACAGTCCACCTGATGATAAGTAGATACTGTGGCCCATCAATTAATAATCAAAATGCAGATGCGTTGTCCCTCCTGAAGACTAAGATGTGATGGCTCGTTTCCATTAAAAAGGGTCTCCGGTTCTCTACACTCACCTTACAAAACACAGCAACATTATACTGCTATTTTTTGATGGTATTCTGTGAGGGGTAGGACCACACCTGTCGAGCCGACTTATTCGTGCTACAACCATAACATAGCTGCAGCGTGGCTGTACAACGTATAAAAAGTAGTAGTGCTTCCTTTTACCCGTCTAAGAGAAGTGGGTTTGTCATTCTTGGAGGGATATTTTGCCTTTAGTCGGTCACCAGAGCCTTGTCCGTTAATCATCACGTGCACTGCTTGAAGATAAAGTTCATTTGGGAAACATTTGTTTATTTTTTATTTCATCTAGTTTACGTATAATACCGAGAACGGTGACGAGCAGTAGCATTAAGGGTACGAGAGGTATGGTACAGCGATAGCACCTACCAAGGGTGGCGATTACAGCAAATTCTTCCTAAAACGGCGGAATCCTATGCCCTAGACTTATGTATGAAGACAACTACGGGCTGGTGTAGATGGTGATGGAAAATTTACCTCCACACTAGGAATATCTCCCGTATCGTAGAGGCGTTTTACATACATGAATCTCGCATAGGTTTACATCCCAATCAACACACCCGTAGCAATTGTTTGTATATCATACAAAATATTCAATCCGTGCGGGTTTTGAGCCCGCGGTGCGACCGCGCTTGTTGAAAGTTATACGCTATCCGAAGATCACAAATACGATAATAAGTTTGAAATTACAATATAATAATTTTGCTTTCAATTAATCTAACAATTTACACTCTGAAATGATATTAATACTTTGTATTTAGTTTGAAAAATATACACAAATATTATTCGTACTACCGGTTAGGATCAACGACCACTTTCTGGCCTTTCGTGAAAATCGACGCCTTTCCCACGTCGTGGACAATTCCACTGAATTCATGACCTAAGGGCAGAGGTCGCTCTTTAGATGCTGGGAACTCACCCTGTGAACAATTCGATTTATTCGCACTTGCTGAAAATAAAAAAAATATAATATGACGGTATCTTATCAGATTTTGACAACGCGAAAACCTTTATCATATTTTTACGTGGTAGAGCCATGCTGCAACTATATTTCTGGTATAGTTGTAACACGAATGGGTCGGCTCGACCGGGGAAGGACCACGCTCTCACAGAATACCAGCGTAAAATAGTAGCTTAATGCTGCTGTGTTCGTATGGTGAGTGTAGAGAACCAGAGACCCTTTTTACTGGAAACGAGGCATTTCATCTTAGTCCTCACGGGTGACAACGCATCTGCATTTTGATTCCTCATCGAGGATAAATGAAGATGTCTATGGGCCACAGCAACCACTTACCATCAGGTGGACTGTGTTTGTCACCCTTATCCTATAAAAAGAAAAATATTTTTTCTTTTTCTAAAGTTACTTCATATTCGGGATAAATTAAATAAATAAATATTATCTAATATTGCCACTTTAAAAAAAACTACAACACTACTACAAACTACTGTTTACTAATTTACCAAATATTTGATATTAGATACCAGATACCACTCGTTATCCCTCCCTCGTATTCCCTTTCGTAATACTCGTCTTCCCTTCCTATTTCATTCGTAATTCGTCATTCGTATTCCAGAGGTTCTGATATTCATGTTTTTGGAACAGAGAGGAAACCGCCACAAATAATAGTGTTAACACATCAGTTCCGAACTGACTGCTTAGTGACAAAGCATCTGTAGCTGTCTTTGTTTTAAGAGAACAGCAGGTGTTCATGGACTGCAGAAGTCACTTTTGATCAGGTGGCCTGTAAGTTCGTTTGTCAGTTAAGTTTCACAAAAAAAAACCTGAAGTGGCAAGGGACCGGCCATATAGCTTGAAAACCAAGTGATAGTCTTATGAGTAGCAGCCTCCTGCTGGTAAGCTCAGGTGACAACACTCTACTATAACCTCTTGCTTAGAAGTTGACTGCAGGTGTCATTGGGTTGCAAGCCACCTTTTTATATAGGATAGGGTGACAAACGAGCACACAGTCCACCCGATGGTAAGTGGTTGCTGTGGCCCATAAACATCCACATCTATCCTCGTTTGCGAATCAAAATGCAGATGCGTTGTCACCCCTCACGGGTGATAAGATGGAATGCCTCTTTTCCAGTAAAAAGGGTCTCCGGTTCTCTACAATCACCATATGAAACACAGCAGTGTTAAGCTGCTATTTAACGCTGGTATTCTGTGAGAGCGTGGTCCTTCCCCGGTCGTGCCGACCCATTCGTGCTACAACTATTATACTACTAATACAGCTGCAGCTTGGCTCTACCACGTCTTTTCTGTTTCAGTTTCCCTCTATCGCCTCTTACGACACCCACGGAACGATATGGGGTAGTGGATATTCTAACACTGCCACTAAACGGTGTAATTAGGTCCTTTATCTATCACCTTCCATTTCATAATAATTTAAAATAAAAAATTTTGTACAGCCGACTTCAAAATAAGTTATTAAGAGTAACTCAAAAACTATTGGTCTGACACGAGAAGTACCAGCTTTCAAATAAAAAAAGAATCATCGAAATCGGTTTACCCAGTAAAAAGTTATGAGGTAACACACGTCAAAAAAACATACAGTCGAATTGAGTACCGTCTCCTTTTTGGAAGTCGGCAGAAAATAGTACAAATGAAGCACTAATGAAAAATTACTTTTCTTCCCACCAGTGGTATATTGTTACCTGAATAATGTGAAGATCTGTACCGCAGACGCCGGAGTATTCCACTTTGACGATAACGTCATCGTCTTTGACGATCTTCGGCATGGGGTAATTTGGATCATATTTCAGTGTGAGCGTTTTTCCATCGAATACCACGGCCTCCATGGTTGTTCACCTTTCTGCGAAAGGTATAAAGCACTTGAATGATATTGAAAACTTCAGTAATCATACGATTTTTTTTTTTTATTGAATAATGTTAATAAACGAATACACAGTCCACCTGATGGTAAGTGGATGCTGTGGCCAATTGACATCTACATTTGTCCTCTATTAATAATCAAAATGCTGATGCGTTGTCGTTCCTGTGAACTATGATGAAATGCCTCGTTTCTAGTCAAAAGTGTCCCCGGTTTTCTACACTCACCATACGCAACACAACATTAAGCTGCTGTTTTACGCTGGTATTCTGTGAGAGCATAGTCCTTCCCTGGTCGTGCCGACCCATTCGTGCTACAACCGTAATATAGTTGAAGCGTGGTTCTATCACGTCTACAATACGTTAATATTTAATTAATAAATAGATGAATTTGTAGGCCGTCATCCCATAGAAGTCTACAGCTGGATTTAGATCTCTACTAGGAAGAATTTACCTTACTCATCACACTTAAAGTAAAGTAAAGTAAAGTAACAGTCTATATACGTCCCACTGCTGGGCACAGGCCTCCTCTCATTTCCAAAAGGATTTTAGGGCAATTAAATGTCCGCTGCGCTGCCCCAATGCGTGTTGGCAAATACGTGTCTTCGAAATATACTTTTTTTATATCTCAGACATCTTGCCGGTTTTCCCACGATGTTTTCCTTAACCACCGAGCACGTGGTAAATCAGCGCTTAAAATTGCAATTAACAATTTCATTGGTGCCGGCGGGAATCGAACCCGGATTGCTCGCGTACTGTGAAATTTACAGCGAGCGTTTAGCCCCTGAGCTACCACGGCTTATTATCACGCATGGCAAGGAGATTTACGGTAACACCAGACGTATAGCACCTTTGACGCTGCCAGTCGCCAGTTTGAGTATTTTACGTCTAGTGTCTTCTTCTTCTACCTAGAGTTTATCCCGTTTGCTCGTCCCGCCCAGCGCGGGAGAACCAAGGGTCCGCTTTCCTACACTTCCTCCTCCACTTTGCCCGGTCTTCGGTGTTCCTTGCAACCAGCCCATTGGCGCGCATGTCATCCTGCACGACATCAAGACAGCGTTTCTTAGGCCGTCCTCTACTCCTCGTGCCAGGTAGGGTCATGTCCAGGCATTTGTTTCCCAAGTAGCTTGCCGGTCGTCGTAAGACGTGGCCGTACCAGCGGAGTCGACTTTTCTGCAGCTTGTCAGCAATGTCACGGACATGGAGGCTGCCACGGATGTATGTATTCCGTACACGGTCTTTCCGCGTGACGCCACACATCCACCGCAGCATGTTCATCTCCGTGACATGCAACAACTGCCGGTGTCGCTCGAGCACCGGCCACGCCTCACTGCCGTACGTAAGGACAGGCCTTATGAAGGTCTTATAGACCTGTCCCTTCAGCTTGACCGGCATTTTGCGGTCACAAATGACACCCGTCACCTCGCGCCATTTCGCCCAAGCCGCTGATATACGGACCTTGATGTCGCGATCGATGTCCCCGGACGCATCAAGCACAGATCCGAAGTACCTGAAGTTGTCCGTACGCTCGACGGTGTCATCGCCTATACGAAAGACGTCAGATCTGTGCTGTTGCAGGCCATATACTCCGTCTTCGCCACGTTTAGCTTCAGCCCGCCGTTCTCAAGCGCCTCCCTCCATGCGTGCACGCGTCTGGTGAGCTGTCCTTTGTCCCCATCTACCAGTGCGATATCATCAGCGTACATAAGCAGCCAAGGCTGGCTGACAGTTCGTCTAATATCACACAAGAGAGATAAGGGCTTAACACGGAGCCCTGATGCACGCCTACGGTTATGGGGAAGGGGGTGGTATCACCAACAGCGGTCCTGACTATTGAATCGGAGTTGCGGTACATGTCACGTACGATTTCCACGTAGGTCTCTGGTACCAACTTCGACCGCAACGCCCACCATATCATCTCCCTGGGAACACAGTCAAAGGCCTTCTGCAGGTCTAGGAATAAAAAATGCAGATGCATATTCTTTCCCTGTGCTTTTCCATGAGGATCCTTAGTGCGAATATAGGGTCCATGGTACTGCGTCCTGGTTGGAAACCGTACTGGGAGTCCGACACTGTACACTCCTGTCGGATCCTGGTGTCAATAATGCGCTCGAAGAGCTTCATGGTGCGTGACATCACCTTTATACCGCGGTAATTACCGCAATCCTGAACGGACCCTTGACCCTTGTGGACCGGCGTTATTATACTAAGCCGCCACTGATCGGGCATTATTCGGTCACTCAAGATTCTATTATAAAGGTTAGTAAGAATGCACACACCACGAGCCCCCAGCGCTTTCCACGCTTCAATTGGCACCTCGTCCGGTCCGACAGCTTTCCGATTCTCCATGTGACGAAGATATGCGAGGACCTCGTCAGGTGTAGTCGGTGGCACGAGTCCATGGTTCGGGAGTTGTTCGGGAGGGTGCACTTCTCGGTGCTGAGTATTCAGCAAAACGTGGAAATAAGAGCGCCATCTCTCCTTCACCGCACGATCATCGTACAGGAGCTCGCCATTAGGGCCGTTGACGCTGCAGCAGCGAGTAATATCTTGCGCTGTACCACGTACCACGTACGTTATGAGCCCTAATTATGAAGTTGGCGTGCTTGTTTTTAATAAGTCATTATTTGTTAAAGCAAGTGATATATATCCCCAAAACCGACGTAACCCAGACAAACATGTCCTATATGTTATTCTTAGGCTCGTTAAATATAACAAATACAACTACCCCAGGAGGGTACCAGTACCCCTGGAAAATCCCTCGCTGAGCATCCACGACCATGCCATTCCACTACTGAGCTTGGGTGCTCAGGTTGCCCCGCGTATTCTGGGGGGGGGGGGGGGGGGGCAAAATTCCGCTCAACACAATAACTGCTCGGAGCAAACTGAGCAACAAGACCAAGGCGACCCCTGCCACGCTATCCGTGAATTTCTGCAACATCAGGGGACTTCACTCGAACCTAAACGCCGTCCACTACCATCTTGAGACGGCGAAGCCGGCCTTGCTCTTTCTGACCGAGACGCAGGTGTCCTCTCCGGCTAATACTTCGTATCTCTCCTACCCGGGGTACAAATTGGAGCACTCCTTTGTGCCTCGGGCTGGAGTTTGCGTGTATGTCAGAGAGGACATCTGTTCTCGACGCCTCGGCAGTCTTGAAGGTTCGGACCTGTCCATCCTTTGGCTACGCGTAGACAGCGACGACCATCCGCGCGTCTACGTGTGCCTATAGAGGTCCCATAGCGGTAATGCCGAAACAGACCGACTCATCGACCACGTCCAAATGGCTACAGATTCCTTGCTACAACAGGTCCCATCCGCAGAGATCGTGATCCTTGGCGATTTTAACGCCCACCATGCCGAATGGCTCGGTTCACGTTTAACCGATCATGCGGGGAGATATGTTTATGACTTTGCCTTGGCATATAGTCTGACACAACTGGTTACATCCCCTACGCGGATTCCAGATGTTGAGGATCATACACCTTCCCTGTTGGACCTTCTGCTGACCTCTCATCCGGACGGATATCAGGTTTCCGTCGATGCCCCTCTTGGCTCTTCGGACCATTGTCTGATCCGGAGTGTGGTGCCACTCACGCTCCCCTCGCGGTTGCGTTCTGCAGGTTGCCGCCGTGTTTGGCATTACAGGTCGGCGGATTGGGACGGAATGCGGTCTTTCTTTGCTTCCTACCCATGGCGGCGGGTTTGCTTCTCGCCGGATGATCCCAGCGCTGTTGCTGACTCTGTCACTGATGTGGTGCTACAGGGAATGGAACTTTTTATTCCATCATCTGTGGTACCCATCGGAGGCAGATCTCAGCCTTGGTTTGGTCGCTCCTGTAAGACTGCATTACGCAGTAAGCAGGAGTGTTATCAAGCCTGGGCTGCGGCTTCGGTGACTCGGGATGTAAACACCAGCACACTCAAAAAGAAGTATAACTTCGCCTCCAGGTCCTTCAAAAGAGTAATTGCCAAGGCAAAGTCAGAGCACATAGGCAGAATCAGCGAGAAACTAGTTCGCCTTCCTTCGGGAACCCGTGCATTCTGGTCTCTCGCCAAGGCGGTCCAAGGGAATTTTTGTAAGCCATCACTACCATCTCTGCACAGGGAGGACGACTCACTGGCCCACGACGCAAAAGAGAAGGCCGACCTTTTAGGCTCCCTTTTGGCGTCCAACTCGACTGTTGATGACGGGGGGAACACACCGCCGACCATCCCGCGGTGTGAGTGCTCCATGCCGGATGTGCGGTTCTCACAGCGCTCGGTTCGCAGAGCACTCCTCTCCCTTGACATCCACAAGTCGAGTGGGCCTGACGGAATCCCCCCAATTGTGCTGAGGACGTGTGCTCCGGAGTTGGCACCGGTTCTAACGCGTCTTTTCCGGTACTCCTACTCCCTAGGCGTAGTCCCGAAATCATAGAAGACAGCTTTTGTCCACCCGATCCCTAAAAAAGGCGACCGCTCAGACCCGTCCAACTACAGGCCTATCGCCATCACCCCCTTGTTCTCCAAAATAATGGAATCTGTTGTAAACTGCCACCTCATGCGGTACCTTGAGGATCACCAGCTGATTAGTGACCGCCAGTACGGTTTTCGTCGGTGTCGATCAGCTGGTGATCTTCTGGTCTACCTGACACATAGATGGGCGTTGACAGTAGAGTCCAAGGGGGAGGCATTGGCCGTTAGTTTGGACATTGCGAAGGCCTTCGATCGGGTTTGGCACAAAGCGCTTCTTTCGAAGCTCCCTTCCTATGGGCTTCCCGAGAAATTATGCAATTGGGTCACCAGCTTTCTTGCAGATCGGAGCATCAAGGTCGTTGTAGACGGTGCATACTCCGACTACAAGCCTATTAACGCTGGTGTTCCACAAGGCTGCGTGCTATCACCAACGCTGTTTCTTCTGCATATCAATGATATGTTGCAAGCTGGTAGCATTCATTGCTATGCAGATGACAGCACTGGTGATGCTCT